GAAACACAACCAATTTAAAATTTTCAAAACAACCCGATTTTCATTAAAATGTTTACAAAAAAGGGTTTCAATACAAGTCATTAAAGTATTCCAGAATCACATTGCTACAAAATCATGAGGAGCGGTACGATCGCGCCTTCGCCTTGCCACAGTCTCCTGAAGAACCTGAAAAACATTAAACCACAACTGTAAGCCCGAAAGCTTAGTGAGATACCCCCAAAATACCAACCACGTATACGCCCTTCCAGGCTACGACCTTCCGGTCCAAAACATATAAAACATACATAACATAACAGAACATAGAACAGCCATGCATATCGGGTCTACCGTGTGACTGGTCCGCCGTATCGGGCCTTCAGTCCAACGGATCCATCCTCAGGTCTAGTCATGTCCTTCGAGTCTACAGTGGGGTTGGTCCGCCCGCATCGGGCCTTCAACCCACCTGGTCCACTCTCTGAGTCTACAGTGTGACTGGTCCACCCGCATTCGGGCCTTCAGTCGCCTGGTCCACTCTCCGAGCCTCGGCACGTCTGGTCCGCCCTCGTGGGGCCTACAGCCTATCCGACCGCTCGTTGGGCCTTCGGAACAACCGGTCCGCCCTGGGTATCTTGGCCTACAGCACAAAGCAGGACCCGCCTCAACCCATCTCCAGTCCAAACAACCATGTGCACAAAACATACATTCATATAACAGTCATAGTCAACAAACCGAGCAAGCAGATCACATAGCATATCATTACCCTAACCGGGTTACCGACCTAACCGGTCACTAGCATAGCATCACTCTGTATATCGGGAAACTAACCTTAGCAAGGCCTCCTAGCATGTACCATCCTAGCTACCAGGATGCAGACACATCAAACAATAACATAATAACCATAACCGAATCTCAATACATAAAGGGCCGGCCTTGGTGCCTTAGACCCTGTTGATATAGTGAGGATAACTCACCTCGAAACTGTCGGCTGAAAAGATAAGATCCCGCTGCTCCGAACTCTGACACGAACTCCTCCACTAAACATCAAAACATACAACTCAATAAATACCCTTAATTACCAAAATACCCCTGGAAGACAACTGGTCAACCTTGGACGAGTCAAAGTCAACCCCTGACTGACCCTACTCGCCGAGTCATCCCGATGACTCGCCGAGTCCTTATGCTCAGAACTTCCCTCAATTAGCGACCCAACTCGCCGAGTCGCCCCAAGACTCGTCGAGTCCAACAACTCTAAGTCCACTCGCACCCAACTCACCGAGTCATCCCTTGACTCACCGATTCATCGACTCAACCAGAAATATTGGGACTTCCTCGACAAGACTCGCCGAGTCCAAATGGACTCGTCGAGTCCAAGGCCATCTTCAACCTACTCGCCGAGTTGTTCTTCCAACTCGTCGAGTTCCAGGCCATCTTCAAGCAACTCGTCGAGTCCACCCATGTGACTCGTCGAGTACCACCGGTCTGAATCCATACAGAAGCATCTCAGGCCATGCAATTGATCCAAAACATAGATCCAACCTCCTACAATCCATCCATCACGTAAAGTGGCAAACTTTACGTGAATCTAACGAGATCTAAGCATATTCACCTTAAACCAAGGTTTGGGACATGGTGGCTTCACTAAGCACTCAAACACAGGAACTTTAATGCACTCTAGGCCTTCAATATTCCAGATCTGAGGTAGCAACCTCAGATCTATCCTCCAAACTCCAAAACATTCCAAGACATACTCCCACAAACCCCAAAATGATGAAACTAGGAATGCACAGCCTAAGGACGAAGATATACCTCCAAAAGATGCCTCAATAGTAGCCAAACTCGAATCCAAGCAAAGCCCTTTGATCCAAGCCACTTCTCCTTCAAGATCTTCAAACAACACCTCTCCAAGCTCTAATTTGCTCCACAAATGATCTCTCCACGAATTTAGGGTTTCTGGAACTCAAGGGGGGAATAAGGGAGGCTGTGGAGGGTATAATGCTCTTTATTAGGGCTCAACAACACCTACTCGCCGAGTCCATCCTTGGACTCGCCGAGTAGGCCACTTGACACGCGACCATGACCGCGACCTGACTCGTCGAGTCCATCCATGGCCTCGCCGAGTCATCCTCTAAAACTTACACTTTTAGCCCTTCAACTCTACTCTGCGATTCCGGGATGTTACAATTGGTTAATTAATTATTTTTAAATTTTAAAAGGTAATCAACTTTTGGTTTTGTGCTCATTTAATTATTTAACTTTTGGTTGTCACTTAACTTTTGAATTTGTGCTCATTTAGTTACCTAACTTTTAAAATTGTGTTCATTTAGTCATTAAACTTTTTAAAAAAATTTAAAAGTTTAGTGACTAATAAGCACAATTTTAAATTTAAATGATTAAATGAGCACAAATCAAAAAATTAAGTGACTAAATGAACACAAAACCAAAAATTTGATTATTTTTAAAACTTAAAAATAATTAAGTAACCAAATGAATACAAAACCAAAATCCAAATAACCAAAAATGACTTAAACCCTAAAAATAGATATAAACAAAAGACACACGTTACCCAAAACACAATGACTATTCATGCAAGTTACTCGTGTTGGTTGGTAACGCTCTTAGGCTTTAGACCGTTTATTTTCCTTGCCAAATGATCCAAATTATCACATTGTTCTTATTTTATTAAGCAAATTTGTATATTCCTAAATTTTATAGTTTTTAGGGATAAGTGACTAATACTAAAAACACGCTTCTTAAATTCGGGTAAATCATGTTATAAAAATTCACTTTTGCGACTGGACTATATGTGTCCGAAATCTTTGTCGAATGATTTACATAATTTAGTTATAAACCGGATCTTTTATATACACATATAAGTTATGCACATTCGATTCTATAGACATAATAACAACAAACTTTCAAATTGTTTCACATAATTAATCATATTTAGAATAGCATTATACTCGCATTTAATAATTTTGTCATTGATATCCCAATTGCAAAATAGTTTATGATTAAGTTTTATTTTCATTTTTATTTTTCAACTTTTTTTTATGGTTGATGACTTAGGGTAACCAACTCTTCTTCATGTATACTTTTTACTCATTTTTATTTGTACGTCTCTTTTATACTATTACCACTAAATTGCCAATTTTTTGTTGAATAAAAACTATTTTTAATACAAAAACAAGAAACATAATACAATTGTGTCATGGAAATTGATTAACCAATGAGATTACTTTTCGTTGTCATTGAAGATGAAAACAAACATGCCTATACATTTTTCTTTCTTTTAATTCATGTCTTCATAACAATAAAAAATAAGACAATATTACCCTTTGACCATATCTCTATTTCTCAAAATCAAGATTCACCTCAGCACATATACAAACACAAAACAATAACGAGTGATGTATTATGAATAGAACAAAGAACATGACAAATAAAGACTACTTACAAAACTGTATCATTGTAACAGATACATCATACTACACCAAGAATATTTGTAAATTGTAATAGTATAGAAACAGATTTCAACATTTGTATGCGACATTCCTAAACAAACCTGTAAGAAGAAGAAGAAGAAGAAAGGCAGATCAAAGTTCAAATTCATCTTCAAGTTTCAATTGCTCTGATGCAGCTTCTTCATCATCATCATCAACAGCAAAGTAAGGATTATGAGCCTCTGGTTTGAAATTGTACCCAGTGAAAACATAAAAAGCAAGAGTGGCTAACTCAGCAGCTACTACACTAGTCCACAAATACTTATACGAAGTGATAGTCTCCAATGCATACACCACAACTCTTGTGAAGTAAATGTAGCAGATAACCACAACATAATATTGTCTGAAGAGGGTTAATTTCATCAGATTAACAGCTGCTTTTCCATCTGTTCTAGCTGCTTCTCTTAAGTTCTTGATTGACCAAACAATGGGGAATAGAACAGCACAACAACAGACAACATCGACTAGTAGAAACACCTGCTTCCATGTCACCCAATCTTGTCCATATGGCCCTGATTCATCGATCACGACTTGAGCAATGTTGGCGACGACTTGAAGTGGGATCACAATCATTAGCACCTTCTTTTCTTTGTCTTGGAGATAGGGTTTCAGGAACGACCATCCAGTTCCGATTAACACGATCAATGTGAACAATGTGATTCCTTTCAGGAAGCTGAAAATGTAGAACAGAACGTCCCATCCATGGGCGCTACCGGTACGCTTGATATAGGATTTATCTTCGGCTTCACATACCAAGTTTAATGCTTTCAGGACCACAACAGCAAGCATAAAGAAATGGATTCCGAATACAGTAAGACGTTTTTTGTACAGAAAGTAAACCCAAGCTGCTGCCATAGTAATGTAAATGAGGGAGAACAAGAAATAAACCCTTGGGAGAACGGTAATTCCAGCAGAAAGGTAATCGCGAGTGTTGGACTTGCCATCGAGATTGTACATAGCAGATCGGACGTCCATTGAGACCTTAGCTGAGGAAGACAGTTAGCAAACACAAGAGTATACTGATCGGCATCCGATTGGAGATAATAATGATCAAAACCTTTCGCATCTTTCGCTATCGAATTCAAATTGTAAACTTCTTTGATGATATTGGATTGAAGCGCACACGCTATCTCCGCGTCTTCGATCTGTTGGAGAACCTGAAGCCATGAATCACGCGTGCAGAGAAAAAAACCTAATTTAGAGAGGTCAGGGTCTGCTGTCGAGAACGATAGTTTGGAAACGTTGAGTTCGAGTCTGCCATTGTGAGTGAAACCGAATTCATCGAAGGGGATGATTGGTCGGGGGTCGGATCGGATCTCGGTGAAGCGAATTTCGGCGGTGGCGATGGAGATGAAGGCGACGAGGATGAGGAGGAGGAGGAAAGAGGAGGAAGAACCGGAAGCCATTGATCGGAGATCTGAATCGAAATGCTCAGATCTGTGACAGTTGTAGTTGTGATTCTTCCTTTGTTTGATAATCTGAGTTGAAATTGGGATTACGACGGTTTAAGAAATTTATATATTAAAGTGAATTTGGTTTGAGATCTGAGAGCGTCGGTGGGTGTAGCCGCGTGCGTGTCGCGAAAGGAAACGTACAAAGGAAATGTGGATACATTATCATTAAAAATAGAGGTTAGTATTTGAAAATTTTGTCTTACAACACCTAAAAAGTAATTTAACTATTTAAAGAAATACAAAATTTTATGATGGGACTTATGGTTTTTTTTTTTTTTTAAATAGCGATTTAATTTAAGAATAACATTTGGTCAAATTGTTTCCAAATCAAATTTGGTTTTGTTGTGTAACTCGGTTAGAAATGTCTCTATTTTATCTTTTTGTTATTTTATAAAATAAGTAATTATATGTACCAACCACATAGATTATACAAAATTAAGATGTTTGCTTCACATTTTAAAAGAAAGTGGTAAATCATATTATTTGAATGTTCCATGTCAATTGGTCTTAATATCTACATTAGAGGTCAATCGCGGAACACTAACAATATTTTGGTTGTGTCAAGGTTTGAACCTTAGGATATATAAAATTCCACTCATCAACCGCTAAACTTCCATTGTTGAGGCATGTTTCACGTCTTATCTACATTGGTTAGATTCAGAGTATTACTTTGATCTGTTTTATTTTTTCCTATTTAAGGAGACAAACTAAGAGTTGCTACAAGTGTCATAAACGTAATGAAGGCGTGAAAGTGTTTGAATAACTAATGCGAAATCTATTGGTATACATTGTGGATACAGTCAAAGAGAATAAACCCACAGAAGACTTTGATGATGTGAAGGATTTTCCTGAATTTCCCCAATGATATTCTCGGACTTCCACCTGATTATCAAGTGGAATTTCACATAAATTTGGTATCGGGAACCGCACCAATTGCAAAAGCATCGTATTGCTTAGAACCTACAAAATTGAAGGAATTGTTGACACAATTACAAGAGTTGTTAGACAGTGGCTTTGTGTGACCGTGCACCTCACCTATAACGTCCGTAGATCCGGGCTAGTCAATTTAGAGATAATAGGGGTTGAAAATGACTTTTCGTCAAAAGATTATTTAGAATAAATAATCTTAACCAAGTTGTAGAATATGTCGTAACGGTTCCGAACATATAAAGAACGCCGAAATCCGAGTTATAACGAAGAAGTTATGACCCGTCGAATTTTTGCGACGGAACCGACATGGCACCAGGAAGCGTAAGAAGTGAAATTATGATAAAATACTTTTTAGCCTTAGTAATCAGTATGTTAAACCGAGAAAATCCATAAAAAGAATGCCAAAATCTGACTTTGTATGAGGAAATTATGATTTTTCAAAGTTTCGACTTAGCTGTGTACAGTCCGAAACTCGAATTTTAGTTCGAGCGGTTTTAGGCTTACGTGACCTAAATGAGAGTTGAAGATCTCATTAATAGAAACTCAACGGTAAAAAGACAGACGAAAACGGAGTCCGTATGAAGGAGTTACGAATTCTTCGTGGTCATTTAGTAGTCTAATATCCTCCTACTGTTAAATTTAAGATCGGTCGAGAATTAGCCAACAGAGTCTTATTGAAATTTGTAGATATTGTTTTTACCTACGCGTGGAAAAAAAAAGAACGTTGAAAACGGAGCTCGTATGCGAAAGTTACGGGGTTTAGAAGTCAGTAGGGTGCTGCTGCAAAAGGGGTGACGTGGCACAATGTAGGCCGCACACGTTTCGCCACCAGAATGCTGACACCTGGCATGGAACTTGATGAGTTAGAGGCCAACTCGACGAGTTTTTTGGGATTTCCAGCCTATAAATAGAGGTGTTGGGTTCCCTCATTCTTCACATCTTCCCAACTTCACCTTCTCTCTCTAGTTTCTCTCTCTAAAGCCCCCCCCCCCTAAAGTCTAGGTAAACCTCCTAGCACCCGAAGGAAGCCCCAAGGCTCCCAAAGCCCCAAGAAAAGATCCTTTCGTCTCGGGAACGCTGCTCCAGCGAAGCCCGGTTTTGCGAAAAACCCGTTGTAAGTGAACTACGCCTACCCTATCGTTAGTATATCTTATGTTTCAATATAGTAATGGTATTAGAAACTTATAATGAGTACTTGGGCTATTATTATGGGATATATAAGTATTGTTTAATGATTATACGATAGTAATAATAGCTAGACTATTAATTAGTCTCGGTGAATATTAAACTAAACTCTAGTGGTAATGATACTAGGTTTTATCCGAGGAAAATTATGTTGAGAGTAACGAAGTGTTGTTCGAGTGTTGAATCAACACCTTCTTAGGTGAGTGCATGGTCCCTTTCATCTTACATATAGATATGAAGTATTTTATATAAACTACGTGCTATGTGTGCATATTATTTGTATACTTGCTATCTATGCTGGATGAACGATTTTATACAAGTTTTAAATGATTTAAACTGTATACGTATTTTTTATCTACAAATATGTTGGGTATAACATGGGTAGATGAATGATGAGAGATAAAAGATGATATGAGTGATCATTAGCAACTATGGACTTAGTGCCTATTGAATAAACGCTGGTAGCTATGGACTTAGTACCTGATAGATAAACGTTGGTAGCTATGGACTTAGTACCTAAACACTGGTAGCTATGGATTTAGTACCCGGTGAATGAACTTTAGCATCTATGAAATTAGTACTTTACGAACGAGCATTGACAACTATGGACTTAGTGCCAGTCCTATAACCCTGGAAGCAAAGGACTTCATAATGAACGAATATAGGATAGATGACTCTCTCAGGGTAGACTCTTAAGAGTAAAGAAGATAATGGGGATGGGTAATTAGGTTGATTGTTTGATTGTTTAAACATTATATATATATATATATATATATATATATATATATATATATATATATATATATTATTGTGGGTTGAAAACCCTATGTACTCACCAGGTTTCCCAACCTGACCCACTCAGTATATTCATATCACAGGTGTTGATATGAAGTCACATTACACTGAGAGATTAAGGAGATATAAATCACTAGTGATAACGAATGTAAGTTCTGTTTATGCTTATGTTTATGTATTGACGATGACATCCCAAATGTTTTAAAATGAATAAAAATAATTTTCTTCAGAAGTGCTTTGATAACGTATTTATCATGTTTTACTAGGAACAAATTCCGCAACGTTTTTATTAAAATAGATACTTTGATTTTTTATAAAGCATAAACAAAATCGGTCTTTTTTGGCCGTGATAATGGGGATGTCACATCATCTTGGAGAGCTCTAATCTTGTTTGTGGAGAAGAAAGATAGATCGATGAAAATGTGTATTGATTATTGTGACCTCAATTAAGTGACCATTAAGAATGTGTATCCTTTACCCATGATTAAAGATATATTTGATAAATTGCAAGGAGCAGTTTATCTCTCAAAAATTGATCTTCAATCTGGTTATCACCGGTTGATTGTAGGAGATGCAGACATCGATAAGATGAACTTCCGACCTAGATATAGACATTTCGAGTTTTTTGTGATACCTTTCAGCTAAACCAGCACGCCCACGAATTTTATGGACCATATAAATAAGGTTTGTAAGCCACATCTTGATAACTTTCTGATACTTCGCATTGATAATATTCTTATTTACTCGAAGTCGACGGAATAATATAAATAACACTTGAGACTAGTACCTGGAATGTTTAAGAAAGAGAGATTGTATGAAAAATTCTCAAAATGCGAGTTTTGAATTGAAAAGGTATAATTTCTTGGTCATGTAGTAAATACATATGGAATAAAGGTGGATCTATTAAAGATTGAAGTTGTTATGAAGTGAGAATCACCAAAGAATCCACACAGAGATGATAAGTTTTCTTGGATTCGAAGGTTACCATTCATTGAGAATTTCTCAAAGATTACAAGCCCCTTGATGAATATTACCAAAAAGAACTTGAAGTATGTTTGGATTGACGTCCATGAAAAATCATTTAAAGAACTTAATAAAAAGTTATGTGAGGCACACATTCTCACTTTACCTATAGGAGTAGATGATTTTTCTAGTAAATACGTCTCCCACGTATGAGTTCTCTATTCAGTGTAGTCTCTGATAGGGTGATCCATTGTCACCCTTTTTATTCATTTTAGCTATGTAAGGCTTACATGTGATGTTGCATCAATGAAACATGTCTAATGTGTTTCGTGGAGTTCAGGTGGCTAGGGAAGCTTTGGAGGTTTCTCATTTTTATGAAAATGATGTAGTTTTGCTTTCTGGATGGTCTCTGGAGAATGATATGCATACTTTGCATTGTTTTTTCCTAGCCTTTAGGCTCAAGATTAATTTACTGAAAAGTAAACTAATTGGTGTTGGAGTTGCTTTTATAAAGGTGGAGGAAGTAACAGTGTTGGTTAGATGTGTGTCTATTCATTCACCATTCATTTATTTAGGTCTTCTTGTTGGTGAATCAATCTCTTGGATAAATGCCTGGCAAGGTCTGTTCGATTACTTCATGCCTAAGCTTTTGGCTTGGTAGGTGAAGATGATTCCTATTAGGGGGGGGGGGTAGGCTTGCTATTCTTAAGTTTGTCCTTCGTAGCTTGGGTTCATACTATATTTTGGTGTGTTTGGTGTTCCTGTTACAGTTCTTAAACCTATAGTTACTTTGAGAGCTTGTTATTTTTGGGAGATGAGGTTAGAGAGCAAAAATTACAATAGATGAGGTGGTATTGAGTTATTTCTAGCATACATTATGGGGAATAGGTGTTAGGAGTTTATGATCCTTTAATAAGGCTATGTTATTTAAACGATGTTGTGGATTTGTTTTCATAATGTTGATTTGTCATAAGTGTTTGTGGTGAAAGCTATTCGTGGTTAGAGTGGTAGGTGTCGAGAGTTTAAGATAGTTGGTTCCCCTTTAGGGTCATAAAAAGATATTATTATGTCTATCAGGC